ACAAACACCTTCAGTAGCTCCCGTTGTCTAGGGTAAAAGTAATTCCTCCAATCTGGCACTACCCTAACTGTCCAGCCTCACTCTCACCATTTCCCATCATATATTCAATATTCCAGTCATATTTAACTCCCTGCCTTTTCCTAGACAGGCCTCAAGCCTTCTCTGCCTTTGCTTACCATGTTTACTTCATTTCATACATCTTCACTATGGAGAGCTCTAGGAAGCCTTTCCAAGCTGGATGAGATTATTCCCTCCTAAGAATTTACACCGCCTATGGGCCAGCTACCTCATTTCTACTAAAAGTCCAGAGAAGGGGAGTAGTGAAGAAAAGCTGAGTGAGTCTACAGCCAGCACCTCTACCATGCACACTGGAGCAGAAGGGCCAGTGTGTGAGTCCTGAGGCTTCTACCCATAAAAGAGCAGGGCCAAGTATTCCAGGCTAGTCTGAGGCATACTTGGCCATAATCCTTCAAGGCAGAGTGTGGAGGGAGCCCCTACAGATTATGAACCAAGAATTCCCTTGAGCAAACCACTATCCCAGCAAGGCAGAGAGAGAAGCTCCTGTCAGTAAATACCTGCTATGTGCCAGGCACTTTACCTACATTGTGTCCATTCCTCTTAGCAATGCTTTAAGGTGAGAGTTATTATCTCTGCTTTTCAGACAAAGATAATGAAATTCAGGGAGATGCTGCTGCTTGTCTGAAGTCACCTGTTTAGTGGTAGTGGAGCTGAAATTTGAACATAGGTTTCTCTGATGACTTCAGTCACGACTCTGGCAGCGCTTTGTGGGACAGGTGGTATTTGTCCTGGGCTTTAAAATTCAGGTAGACTTGGTCAAATAATCTTTGACAAAGCAGGAAAGAATATCCAATAGAAAAATGACAGTCTCTTCAACAAATGGTGTTGGGAAAATTGGACAGTCACATGCACAAAAATAAAACTGGACCATTTTCTTACACCATACAGATGGAAGACCTACATGTAAGACAAGAGTCCATCAAAATCCTAGAGGAGAACACAGGCAGCAATCTCTTTGACCTCAGCCACAACAATTCTTGCTAGACCCATCTCCAAAGCAAAGGAAAAAAAGCAAAAATGAACTATTGGGACTTCATCAAGATAAAAAGCTTTTGCACAGCAAAGGAAACAATGAACAAAACTAAAAGGCAACCGACGGAATGGGAGAAGATATTTGCAATGACATAGCAGGTAAAAGGTTAGTTAGTATTCAAAATCTATCAAGAATTCATCAAGCTCAACGCTCAAAAAACAAAAAATCTAGTCAAGAAATGGGAAGAAGATATGAACAGACATTTCTCTAAAGAAAACATACAAATGGTCAACAGACACATGAAAAAATGCCCAACATTACTCATTATCAGGGAAATACAAATCAAAACCACAATGAGATATCACCTCACACTGGTCAGAATGGCCAAAATTAACAACTCAGGAAACAAGAGATATTGGTGAGGATGCAAAGAAAGGGGAACTCTCCCATTGTTGGTGGGAATGCAAACTGGTGCAGCCACTCTGGAAACAGTACAGAGGTTCCTCAAAAAGTTAAAAATAGAGTTATGCTACAACCCAGCAGTTGCACTACGAGGTATTTATTCAAAGGATACAAACATAGTGATTTGAAGGGGCACATGCACTCCAATGTTTATAGCAGTGATGACCACAATAGCCAAAATATGGAAAGAACCCAGATGTCCACTGACAGATGAATGGATAAAGTAGATGTGATTTCATTCAAAAAGAATGAAATCTTGTCATTTGCAAGGACATACACGGAACTAGAGGCTATTATGCTAAGTGAAATAAGTCAGTCAGAGAAAGACAAATACCACATGATTTCATTCATTATGTGGAATTTAAGAAACAAAACAGATGAACATAGAAGGGAAGGAAAAATAAGATGAAAATGGGGAGGCAAATCATAGGAGATGCTGAACTCTAGGAAACAAACTAAGGGTTGCTGGAGGGGAGGTGGGGGAGATGGGGTAACTGGGTGACAGGCATTGAGCACTGGGTGTTATATGCAAGTGATGAATCACTAATTTCTATCCCTGAAACTAACAGCATACTATATGTTAATTAAATCAAATTTAAATAAATAATTTAAAAAAAATAAAAGAATAGGGATCCCTGGGTGGCGCAGCGGTTTGGCACCTGCCTTTGGCCCAGGGCGCGATCCTGGAGACCCAGGATCGAATCCCACGTCGGGCTCCCGGTGAATGGAGCCTGCTTCTCCCTCTGCCTATGTCTCTGCCTCTCTCTCTCTCTCTCTGTGACTATCATAAATAAATAAAAAATTAAAAAAAGAATTTTAAAAAAATAAAAATAAAAGAATAAAAGCAAGGTAGACTTTAGACATGTAGAGGGAAGATTGCAATGAAGGAAACATAAGGGTATTTTAGGTGACAGGAACAGAATGGGAAGGGGGATATTTTGGGTCTCTGGATTTAAAAATAGAGACAACTTTGTTGTTTTTAAAAAATAGAGTACGTGCTGGGGAGTAGCTGGAGCTAAGTCTGAAAAGGACAATAAGGACAAATTCATGAAAAAAAAGTATTAAATGCCAGGCTAAAGAGCAGCCCCCTCCTCTTGTACCCAGAGACCTTCTAAGTTGATGGCCCCAGTGAGGAGAGGTAGAATAGAACCCAACAACACAGAAGAAAATGGCTTCTTGTATCATATTTAACCATGGAACTGTAGCAGCCTTTTGGAGGAAAAAATAAATAACACTTGGCAGCCTTTGCTTGATAGTGTCTAAAAAGAGAGTTTTGGAGACAGATAGGCTGGTGGATCAAAATGTAATGCTCACCACTTAAATAGCTTTATTCTTCAACAGCTACACTAAGTCCCTAAGCCTCCCAGCACAAGGGAAGAGGTAACAGTCATCACTGTTCCTTGTAGAGGACAGATAACCCAGTCTGTGGGCACCTGGGCCCCCAGCTCAGACTCTGAGGATAATAGGGGACCCCATTTCTGGAGAGTGGCTCTGGAAGGACTCAAGAGGGCAGAGGGGCTGCTGGGTGGGGAGGTGTGTCCTCTTAGATCTTGGGCCCACCTTCAATCCACTCTAATTCTGATACTGGAGCCTGAGAGGAAAATATATGGAGGACCTACTGGAGACTAAGGAATGGATCTCAAAGGATCTCAATTTGCCCACCACTCTCAGCTCCTTTTTGACCTCCTAATTGCTTTTCACTGGTCATGTGCCATATGATACAGCTGCTACTCTACAGGGCCTCATGGCATGAGAGCTGTTGAAAAGGCTACCTGTCTGTCCCCAGCCCATCCTCAACACCCCACAACCCACCCACAAGGTTTTATATGCCTAATGGCCTCTTCTGAAGGCCAGAGAGAACAAGGGAATTGCAGCTATGAAACTGGATTCCAAATGAGCTCTTCTAAGAGTCCAAAACAAAGAAATAGCAACCCTGCACAGAGGGGTCTCCTCATGTTTCTTACCTTGAAGACCACTTCCCATTCCCTTCTCTGAGACAGGAACTCCTCTGTCAGTCGTTCATCAGAGGAGCCTCCACTTTTCCAGTTAGGAAAAGCTCAACCCTTATCACAGGAATGGGACTAACCCAAAGTCAAGATGGTCCATAGTATACAGTAACTCTCCAGTAGTATCCCTCCCAAAGTCTGAGTCTGAGATAACCACACAGGGCCCCAGCAGGCAGAACAACACAGGGGGCAAGATGGGAAGGAAGGGCTTGGGCACTCCAAGGACAGTGCTCATCAATGTGTCTCCATCAGTATGGGATAAGGACTATTCATTCTTCCCACACATGAATGAGTATATGCACATCTTCTCCCTCTCTCTCTCTCTCCTCTCTCTCTCTCTCTCTCTCTCTCTCTCACACACACACACACATACACACACACACACAATATTCCAAAGCTAAATAATAATTCTTGAAGTCAGTATGGGATCTAAACCACTCTAAGAAAAATATTTTCCTAAATCCACATAATCTGCATAGATTTCTCTGCCGATGTGAAGATCCATCTTTAATATTATGCAAACAGTATCATGTCCCCTTTATTCTCAAGCCAGTTGGAGTTTTCTATCACTTGAAACTACAAGAGCCCTGATCAATGTCTCTGACCTCATTGTATTGGTTAAAAAGCTTTCTGTTGCAAATAACAGAAATGTATTATCTCACAAAACAAAGTCTATTGGTGGGATAACCTCTAGGGTGCATTGACTCAGGGGTTTAATGGTGTCTTCAAGGTTCTTTTAAGATTCCCACTCTACCTAGAAAGGAAATGACCAGAGTGATTTCAGATATCACATCCATATGAAATATCCACATGACATCAACCTGAGGAAGTAGAAGGACCAGCTTTTACTATAGCTCTTTCTCAGGGATAAGGCAAGGAAACTTTCTCCTGAAGTTTCCAGCACGTATCTCCTGTGCTATATTGGCCAAACTTGGATCTCATTCCTCTCCTCAACCAATGGATTAGGACAGAGACAACAACAAGCAAAATGGAATTTTCTTCAGATCAATCACACACATCTCTAAAGCTGGGGGTGAGGGTGGCCCCGGTGGCTCAGCAGTTTGGCGCCGCCTTCAGCCCAGGGTGTGATCCTGGAGACCCAGGATCGAGTCCCATGTCGGGCTACCTCCAGGGAGCCTGTTTCTCCCTCTCCCTCTGCCTCTGTCTATGCCTCTCTCTGTGTGTCTCTTATGAATAAATAAATAAAAATATTAAAAAAAATAAAGCTGGGGGTGGGTCAGAGGGCCCCAGAAGCAGATGGCTGTGGCTGTGTATGAGGGGGCTATCCCAATCTTGTTAGGGTTCTGGTAGGAGAGAGCAAAAGGTGAGAGGGCACTGTGCAGGCTACCAACCATGTGCATTGCACAACATCCAATGCCTATGCTGACCAAAGCTTTTCTTAAACTTGGGCCACACCAAATCCTTAGGCAGGATATTTTCTCCCTGCAAGGGGGTAGTAGTCAGTGAAAATATGTACATACCTTGTCCAGAACCAATTTTTAGCCAGGTCTTCCAGTAATTGCTCTTGTAGTCACTTTGGGGAAGGTTCTCTCAGCTGATGTGGGGATTGGACTGGAGTGAGGTGGGGCTGGAGGCAGGAATGCCAATTGGGAAGTCAGTACAGCTGTGAACCCAGGACCTGTGAAACAAAAAGCCCAGTCCAGTAATGGACTGAGTCATTAGCAAGTTTTCAGAGGAAGGCTGAGACAAGAAGGTGTGCTCATAGAAGGAGGACTCTCAAGGGTATACCAAAGGAGGACATAAAGGCCCTGAGTCCTTCCATGAAGGTAAGGCAGGGAGACAAGTAAGGGGCAGAGGGAGGAGACCTGCAAAGCCATCCCCTTCCCTTGTCCTGAATGGGACTGAGAGCCAGCCCCCATGTCAGGGCTGCCCCTAGTGGCCTCTCCCTGTCATCTTGGTGGGCATTCCTTGAGTGACTGGAACAGGGAACCTGGGATTGGATTCCTGCTACTGGCCCTCCTCCATTTTTGGGCTAACCTTCACTCTCCAAATACTCTATGCTTTTTCTTGCCCTCAAGACTTTGCCTATGCTGCCCCCTCACCAGAAAGGCATTTTCCTGCCTAGACAGTCTCAGTTCATCCTTCACATGCAGCCCCTGGAGCCCCAGCTGACTGAGTGGTGGCTCCTTCCTTTTATCCCCACACAGCTGTAGAGTCATATGCCTCGCCATGGATTATAATTCCTATCCAAATGTAAATCTATCCATCTCCCAGAATGAGCTGAGAGCACTCCAAGGACAGGGACCATGTCTTGTTCATTTTGGTGACCTCTGTAGTACCCAGCCAGTGTGGGGCCAGAGCAGCTGCTTAGGAAGCAAGGGAAGGGATGGTGGGAAGGAGCGAGATTCCTGTTACTTTCCCTAGAGCTGAGCTGTTCAATATGGTAGCCCTAGCCATATGTGGCTATCAAGTGTAAACATTTAAAATTTAGTTCTTTTTTTTAAAGATTTATTTATTTATTTATTCATGATAGTTACACACACACAGAGAGAGAGAGAGAGGCAGAGACACAGGCAGAGGGAGAAGCAGGCTCCATGCAGGGAGCCCGACAAGGGATTCGATCCCGGGTCTCCAGGATCGTGCCCTGGGCCAAAGGCAGGTGCCAAACCGCTGCGCCACCCAGGGATCCCCTAAAATTTAGTTCTTTAGTTATACTAGCCACTTTTCAAGGGTCCAGTAGTCACTTGTAATTAGTGGCTATTGTTTAAACAGTGCAAATAGAGCATTTTCATCACTGCAGAAAGTTCTAATATACAGCACTGTTTTAGAAACTCAAACTATTGCTGCACCTCTAAGAGGGGGAAACCATCTACTATAAATTCTTTTCTTCTCCAATCCAGCACCCAGCACAATGCCAGATATATCCTCCTTTCTCCTCTCTCTCCTTCCTCTCTACTCCCCTCCCGACCTTTGACAGGGCCAGAATAATACTTCCCAGTGGCATCTGAGCTCACAAAGCTTTTTTATAGTTTGTGTGTCTCTGACCCTTCACTAAATCCTGGGAGGTAAGCAGGAGAGAGATTATAATTCTCATTTAACAGGAAAGGGAACCAAAGCTGAGACAGGGAAAGACTCTTGATCAGTGTCACCCAGCTGGCAAATATTGGAGCCTAGACTGGACCTGAGGTTAGATTCCAGCCCCCGGTTTTTTCTCCAATTGCCATGTCACCTCTCACTGAGGGGCCATCTAATCCAAACTGCTATCTAATGCATTAATCCTTTCAACAACATTCCTGTCAAGTGTTTATCCAGCTTCTGCTTCAGTGCTCCCTAGGATTTGAACCTCACTGTCATTCCCCGAAGCAGCACAATCCACCTGTATAGAGAGCCCTGCCAGAAAACTCTTTTGTTCATGCTGAGCCAGAATCAACCTTCTTGTAACTTCCCTGTCCTGAGACCTTAGAAATCAGGATATAGCCACTAACATGCCCTCTACCACACCAGCACCAGTTAGCCTGCAGCTTCTGCTCATATACCTCCAGTTCAGGGGAGCTCAACACCACTCAAGGACCACTCAAGAAAGCTTTTTCCTTCTATGGGCATTTAAACACCAGCCTCCCTCTAGCAGTTCCTCCCTACTGGCTTTCCTTCTGGGGCCTCCACAGACTATATGTGCTCTCTCTGCCGCAGGGCAAGCCCCAGGGACAATGACCCATTCTTTTTAGTGTGCTGCTGTCCTGGCTACAGCCTCAACAGGTCATCAGAAGCAGAACATTCTATCCTATTAGCATAGTACCTCTTCTGGCTTCTCTTTCGTATTAACCATATGAACTTCCTTATTCCATGAATCTTACAAGAGGTCAAGGTCATGTCAATAATAGTAACTACTGCCACTGATGATGTGTTCTCCATATGCCAGGCATCTTGATAAGTGCTATGCTCACATTTTACCTTTGATACCCTCCCTGTAAGGTGCTCATTAGTATTATTTCCATTTCACAGGCAAACAGACTGCTTATATACATACACATGTCTGTCTGTCACTCAGGTGAGAGGACAATCGCAATAACCAGGAGGATAGAGGTGACCACGGACAATTCAGATTTGGGCCTGGGTCAGTCCCAGGTCCCAGAGAGGATGAAGAAGTTCAGAGGGATATAGAATCTGGTTATGTGCCTTAGAGGCAAGACTTGGGTTTAAATCACAGCCACTTACCAGCTGTGTGACCTTGAGCAAGTCATTTCCTCTCTCTGAACTTCCATTTCTTCATATATAAAATGGAGCTAGTAGTATGGGATACAGAGCCCAGGGGTTGCAATGAAGAAACAATGAATGCTTAGCACCATGCATGGCTCTTCATGAGTTCTTAGCAATGGGAGCTAGTATCAATATCATCAATATTATAGAGAGACCATACCCAGTGCTGAGGCAGGTGTAATTCAGTCTTATCTTCCCACACTGAGCCTGGTTAAGACCCAATAGCTTCCTGCGCCGCCACATGGCTTCCAGCAAATATCCAACTTCCAAAATGCGGTTTTTATTTTTTTTTAATTAAGTAAATTCTATGTCCAACATGGGGCTTGAACTCACAACCTTAAGGTCAAGAGTCACATGCTCTATCTCTTGACTGAGCTGGCCAGGTGTCCTATGAGATGAGTTTAGGTATGCTAATGAAGGTGGGGCAGGAGGGACAATGAGGGGCATGGGCTGCTCCTGTGGTGAGCCAGGCATTACTCACATTTCTTTCCAGAAAAAGAAGAGAGAAATGGGCAAGAATTTAAAGGAGCAGGGACATGAAAGATGGCAAGGAAAGAGAAGAAACTTAAAAAGAAATCATGTCACTTCTAAAGCAAACATGGCTTTGGCAAGTCATTTCCCTCTCTAAGCCTCTGTGCAGTTCTGTCAAATGGGGTAATAACATCTCTTTTGCTGACATGGGGTGCTGCACATGGGAGCCACCAGGCAGGGTTAGTCTGCAGGGGCACTTAGTGAGTATTTACTCCTAAAGAATAGCCAACAGCTCTGCAGGTGAGTTTTGGCCATCATGGCAGTCAAAAACAACAACATAATAGCATAACACCTACTGTTTCCTGAATACCTACTCTGGGCTAATCCTCACAGCAACCTTTGAGGGTAATATGTCATTACCCATATTTGCAGAGGAAGAAAGTGATAGTTAAGTAGTAAGCAAGGGTGACATGCCCAGGGTCACTCAGTTAGCGAGCCAAGATGCCAGGGCTGGCACCCAGGTCTGATGAAGCCAAATTTTGTTTCCTGACACCAAGCTGTGGAACCCCTGTGAGCCAGGCCTTGAGTGCAGGAGTCTTTGGATGCATCTTCCATCCCGGCTCAGGGCCCACCACCATAGACAAGGACCACGACTGCTACATGGGGTGGAGAGTGTGAGACAGACGTTCGGGTCCCCTCTCTGCTGCAAAATGACCATAGTCCTAGACTACTCCTTTTCTTCCTTGGCCTCAGTTTCTCCATCTACACAGTAGGGTCCTGGAAGTCAGGACTCTCGGGGTTTTCCAACTAACTCCCTGAAATTGTGCAGACAGTAGCAGGAACTCAGAGGAGGAAAAGTGTCCTTAATGGGAACAGCACAGGGCTGTGTTCCTCCATCCCTTAATAACCACTAATTAGTTAATCCCCATAGCAGCAGGGTGAGTTATTGGGTACTATTATTATCCCCAATTTACAAGCAGGAGGTTGAATGAGAGAGAGATTGGCCCCAGGCTCAGGGCAGGGATAGGATCAGCGAAAGCCTGGGAGGTGCTACAAATTGCTTCAGAATTGGGGGAGGGGACAGTAGAGGGACAAGGGAGGCCTCCAGGGGGAGAAACCACTTAGGAATGTATTTCCGATCCTCATGGGGTTGAAGTCCCTTCAGGGCATCTGAGCCAGCTTTCTGCTTGCACGGACGGGCAAACAAGAACCCAGAGAGGGGGACAGAATGGCCCAAGGTCACACAGCCAGAATAGCAGCCCAGGAACACACACTGCCATGGGTTCTCAGCAGAGACTGCTCTGAAGGGGAGGGGGTCGGGGGAGGGAAGCAAGGTGATGGCTCCTAAGAGCTGGGCTCCCTCTTTGGCCCTCCCCGAATTCCTAGAGAAAGCAGCCAGCAGTAAACCCCTGGGGATTATGTGTGTACTAATGGCCTGTGACAAAGGCAGCAGGATAAGCTCCCTGCTCTGCAGACTAAACAAGGTACAAGAAGCCAAGTCAAACAAAAGCGGAGGTATTGTGTTGGCCTGACTGGTGGGCTAGAAACAGCCCAGCCTCTTGGGAGGCCAAGCCCTGTGCCACCACCCAGAATCTCCTCTGGTGGCCTTTTTCCCCTTTGCCATTGAGGGCTGGACAGAAATATGTCCACAACACGTGACCATCCCTGTTTCTAGCACAGAATGCACTTTCATCACATTACCCCCAAGATGAAAAAACTGAGGGTCAGAGAGGGAAAGGAAGATATGTGTCCCAAGTTACACAGCAAGTGTAACAAGTCAGCAAGTCAGGCAGGTGGCTGGGACCCAAGGCCTCCTGACTCCTCCTCAGAGTCTCAGATTCTTCCATAAAGTAGTGTTGAGTGACATATGAACACTGTGACAAAGGTAAATGCAATACTTCAATTCCTATGCAAAGTATGTGTAGCTCATGAGTCCGTGAGCACAGGCCTGGGATCCTGATCCTGTCCCC